TTTGCTGGGGTAGAACTTTTATACGAAGCACAAGTATGACGGAGTGACAGTTCGCGTCTACTAGGTTATGTGTGATCGATTATATGAATTTTGTAATTTTTACTCATTTTTGGTATAAAATTGGAGTTTCTCGGGATCATCAATGCATATACTATAATTGTACGCAAGATTTTTGATTCCATGAATTCAATACGACGAAAGGTTATAACTACGAAAATGGTATTCTGTCGGTAATACAGACATGTTACGGGATCAAAATAGTACAAAGTCGCTAAAAATTTGTGAAATTGTTCTTTTAGTCTTCCTAATTTATTGCAGAAAAGTGAAAATGCATCCACTAAACGGTTGCTGAGATATAACTATTTTAATTTTCACTGATTTTACACGTACTCTTATGGGAACCCTGATGGAAAAATTTTGCTGAAAACGTAATGAAATTCGCTGAAATTTGGTTGAAAATCTCTTGCAATTGACCCAATTTCATTATCATTTCAGCAATTTCTCATTAAAAAATTTATTTTCAGTGAAATTCTGCAAATTTCATAATATACAACATTTCTAAAATTTTTTCACTAATTTTTAGTAATATTAATTAACTTTCATCTAATTTCACAATATTTCATTGAATTTCATAACGAAACTTATGATTTATTTTGAAATGGTTTCAACAAGTTTCCAAAAACTTTCATTTCACTTTTCATCAATTTCATTACATTTTCAGCAAAATTTTTCCATCAGGGAAAAGCCGATCTTCACGGATAAAACAGTTAAAAAAATGTAAAAGAAATAGTACCAGTGTTTAAAATTTTTTTATACATCTAGTATACGAATAGATGAAAATATCTACCAAGTTTCAATAGTCTTTACTGCACCGTTTTAAAGAAATAAAATATAATAAAATATAACTTGAGATATTCGTGCTATCGGCACGAATTTTTTAGTTTTGAAAATATTTGACGTTATTAAGAATTGAAATCAGAGTATTTTCACTATCAAAAGTTTGGGCTCATAAGTGAAAAAAATCGCAAATATAATTCAGGAAAAAACATTTGTAAAGTGAAAAATACCTTTGTAGGAGTACAAATAAGACTCCAACTATCGTTCAAGTTTCTTAATTACATCTACATAGATTTACTATGCGTTAAGAGTAGATATTTAAGTATTTCCAATTTCATGCACTTTTGTCTAAGATTGTACGTCCAATACATCCTTAATAGACTGAAGATTTCTGCGAATAAATACTCGAATTTTGTAAATTTTTTTAACGGATCTGTACATTCTTTCAGACGTGATCTTACTGTTGCTCTCTTGCGTTCTAACTATTCTTGATCGTGATTTCGATTCTGCCTTTTGTCTGAATACATATGTATATTAATCTCGTGATGCATTTGTTGAAACATATATGTATATAAATTGTCAAATTCTTTTCTTACTGTTTGTTCTTTTCATGTATGCTAAAGGGTTTTTTACCCATGAATAAAGTTATTATTATTGTTATTATTATTATCCCGATCGATGGATTGGTCGTTCAGGACTTGTGAGTTGTGGCTTGGCCTGCGCGCTCTCCAGATTTGACGCCATTGGATTTTTCTGCTTGGGGTGCTATTAAACAAAAAGTCTACGAAAAGCCGGTTAATGACATTAATTCTTTACAAGCAAGAATTATTCAAGCATGTGAAACAATTAAGTATTAAGCTATTCAGTGCCGCTCTGCCACTACCGCCGTCAAAGACAGATGTCAAGCCTGTCTCAATGTTCAAGGCCGTCACTTTGGACAAAATTTTTAATTAAGTAAAAATATTTGCTCATATTTCGGATTATATTTTGATCACTATCAGGTTTATTCCTCATAGCATAAAATTTTTAACCATTTTTCTTGTGCTCATCGACAGAGATATTATTCAATGTTCATCAATCAGGAGTATTTTTTAAACAAGCATACGTAAATTACGCGTATGATAGTGTTTTTATTAAGAATAAACACATTCCGTTGATCAGGGCAAGAATCATTTCTTGAAAACTATAGAAATGTCAAAACATATTCTCAGGATACAGCAGAGAAAATTTATATAATATAATATAATTTTGTTTTAGTTTTGCATTTATTCCTGTAGAGAGTAATTGTTTATTTTTTACATGAAATAAACATAGAAATGACAGTCTAAATCACCATCAAGGCATGGGACGTTTTGCAGTCAAATTATCATCATTTTGCTATTATTTTGACTACTCGTCCCTCATCAATTTGATGGCATTTTGACATCACTTTGATCAGGCTGTTTTTACTGAGTGACTCTTCATACAAAGTACAAACAATTTCCTATAAAACTTTGTTCAATTTATCTATTCCGGCTAAATGCTGGGTGGAAAAATAATTAACTAATTATAAATAAATGAACGACTCCCAAATCTTTTCAAAGGCACTTCAAACGTCTTCATATGAAATACAAATAATTGCATATTAGGAGTTATTTAAAAAAAAGTTTCTTTCCCGTCAAGTATACATTTCTTTTTAATTATTTCTTGCTGCTTTCAATGTAGTTTTCAAGAATTAACAACGATAAAGTTGGTGATAAGTCATAACTACTTCTAATTACATCACAAAGACAAGTTGGCCTTGTAATTTTTTTACTTTAATGTTCCCATATTATACATACATATCTTTACATATCCACTCATACGCACAAATATACAATATGAGACAAATACCATATTAATTGTTATAGTTTGAATTATACAAAATTTAATACTATTCAGCTTCAGTATATCTACATTTAAATACACATCACGAATAAAAATCGATGTAAATTGATAAGTTAATTAATGAACTCTCCAATAATTACGAGAAGTATGCTATATTTATAACATAAATGTAACGTTATATTTTGGACAGCTATTATATTATTAATCATGCTATAAAATCAAATATTATTAAAGTTCAGACATATCCAACAAGGCATTTAAATGCGTTGGCATCCAATTTGTACCATTATGACATACAAATAAGACATTGCTATCGATATACGCTTGAACATTGCCTACTTTGTATACTTGTTTAGCCTCCTTATATCTGTTTGGGATCGGCATAAATAATATACCTCTTTCTTCGCATTTCTTTTGTACCAAATCTTTGAAACCTTGCGGAACTTGTGGAACATTTCGTACCTCTGCGAGTCTCTGTAAGAAAACAGTAGTATGATATAGCAAATAGCAATATGAATATTATTTGAATTATTATTTAACAACGTCATTTAAACGAATAATGCATAATTCTTGTACCTCCATTCTCGGCTGTGCGATTAGTGCCATCTGAGACATAGTTGTCTGAGTTCTCTCTAAGCTTGTTAAATACGAAACCTGTTCTAGTGCACCAGGTTGATGACTTTGTGGCCCAGTGACAGCCCTGTTCATCATGTCCAGTGCTCTCTTAAAGTGATCTGTAAATTGTATTTTATTTATCATATTTTACTGAATGTTTGCCAACTGCAAAGAAGGAAAGAAAAACAATATAGATTTAACATTATAATACATACCTTTTATTATTGGTTCCGCCAGTAATTTGTCATTCAACATTCCTTTCCAACCCATGTACCACGTTGTAACTTGATCATAATTAGGTGAATTATTGAGCCAAATCGCCAAGATATGTAGCCATTTTGGAAAAAAGATTTTATCAAGTAATCCTGCCATGATATGAACAGGGATCAAGTCCTTCCACTCATATACCCAATTCCATTGATCCAAATGTTGTTGGTGTGGATTTATGACTAATTCGGATAAGGCTACTTGCAATTTTGGAATAATGTTCTTAACTAAAAATGATTCCATATCTCCCTTTGAGAACACTTCTGCCCAAGGTTGCAGCATTAATCTAGCAGATCTGTCTGATGGATGCCAACCTCCTAGTGCAGATCCAAGTTTTCTACGTATTATTGGATAAATCAAAGTATCTAAGCGATTTCCTAAATAAAAGTAATAAACAATTATTATTACAATGCAGTTTGCCTTGTATAATTCAATATATGATGTAAAAAGTATATATATTTACGTAATAATGGCAACCAAGGATGAATCCATGTGTGAATAGGTACAGTATCGGTAAGAGGATTCCATTCTTCCACCTCCAATGTCAATTTCGGTAATACTAATAAATCTAATATATTTTCCAAGATCCAATTAGGTAATAATGGCATCCAGTGTTCTACTAATTCAATTAAAGGCTCAGGCTGCCTACACGTCCACTGCCTAATTTGTTCATAAACAAAAGATATTAGAGGCTAGATTATTTATATTAAATATTTACATTAAAAACTATTTGTTTTAAAATATAGAATGTGATTAAATAAAATCAATAGATTTACAGAGGCATAATGAAAATGTGAATATTTTCTTAAATGTTTTTATTTATCTTTTTAAATATTATATATAAATTTGATGCTTATTATAGGGATTACTTACTGGATGGCTCCTCTGATTGATGGCATCCAAGCGTTCCATACTAGTTGATCGTATGAAGGCATAGTCCGTGTCTGAAGAGTTGTACTGGTTCCATTCTCCAAGATATCCTTCCACTGTTGAAATAATTTCATAGGCTGTTTTGGTTGCATTAATGGATTCCAATTGAGTAGATAATCTTTTATCTTTGGCGCTACAAAACTACTGGCTAATTCATCAATTTCGTACATCTTGTACTCTTCATAATAATTGTCTTGCAAATTTCTAAAAGCCTCCGCAACTTCTTGCAATGACAATTCATTCGTTTCATTCATCAATTTGTCCACGATCACGTGCACATTCTCCAAGGTATCAATTAGTTGACTGTGCTGATCCAGTACCTTAGATAAATTCTTTTTCTCTGCTTCCAGAGCAATTACTCTATCATTTAAATGCCTCATTCGTCGATCATTTTGGATAATGTCTTGCTCGCACATGTCCACAAGTAAATCTAAATTATGCTGCAATTCAGGCAGCGCAAAGTTTATTTTCGATTTCTTATCCGATGTAATTACAGTCTCGTCAGGACACTGCTGACCGCCAGCTATCGCATGATATCCGCTAAGAATTCTTTGTTCCGGCCCCGTCATATCGATAACTTTAACTCTGCTCATATCGCTAGACACTGGAAGTTTTCTGTTAGGCTTCAGTTTTCCATTTTCCAAAACTTGATCCACACTTCTATAACAGTATCTGACTTTTTTCTTGTTGCTGTCACTCTTTCGCCATTGAGATACTTTGGACTTGGATTCTTTCGCTTCTTCCCCATCGTCATCTTTCTTTTTTTCAGGAATCTTTGGTGTCTTTTCCGGACCATATGCGCCAATGGCGCCTCTTCCTTTTCTGAGATGTGCCTCCACTGGCGCGCTTATTCCTTGCAATTGTTTACCTAAACCTTTTCCAGGTTCAAATCCCATCTGAAACAAGAATATCTCTTTTACTAATGTTCCATTTTCATCTTGCTACGATTTATAAGTATATTACGATTGTTGTTCATGAAATACCTGCAACAATAATTTAGCGCCAATGCCCTTTGTGTGCACTTCCCAACTACCCATTCCACTTTTCATCAGCATTGGATTCACTTGATTGCGCTTTTTGCGCAGACCCGCAATGTCACTATCCAAGTTCAAGGAGAAGGACGTACGTGATTTGGAACTATTTGGCCTCTCATCTTCTGAACTAAATAAAAAACATCAAATGTATACACATTTAACAAAAAATCCCGCTGTCCCATATTAAAATTCTATCTCATAATAAGGGACTTTCCTCTATTGACTACAAAATTGAATGTTTCAAGACGCGCAAAGAGCACATTGCAGATTAGGCTTATGGATAGGAAGTATCTGTTCCAGCAAGAGACATAGATTGGTACAGTGTTATACAGATAATCATTTCATCCTTGTTTAATAATGATAAACAAAGGTAAAACAATTCACTGTTACACAGTGTCGCCTGTGTACATTGCTGGAAAGCACCCTATGAGTAACTATTTTAGTCACTCGAGTAGAAATAATTCAAGTCAAATCAACAGTACCACCTGGCCCCCTCGAAACCATTTAACTTTTGCCTGAAACATTTTTGTCTTAAACTTATAGATTTTGAGATATTTCAGTGGATACATTAAACTGGCCTACCCTGTATATTGAATGAAAACCAAATTTTATCGAACATTACTTTTGAATTCACCTTCAAAATGAGCTTGGAACTCAAAGTGTTAAAAGTTTACTTTAATAAATACAGAAAAGATTGATTTACATAAAAAAATATTTTTGTTTAAATTTTACCTCGAACTACTGTGCTTTGCCTCCCTTTCTTCCTTGTCTTCTTCATCATCCTCATCTTCCTTCTCCTTCGGTTTTCCTGCCTGTTGGATACCACCAGCGACAAAATTAACCGGTGCCGTATAATTCTTAGGACCCTTATTGAAGGTCTTGAAAGATGGTCTGGCAGATAGTTCATCCTCATCGCTGTCATCTGCCCATATTCCTGTTTGTTAATAGAAAGAAGTTACATGTAAAATAATAAATAATCCCAAATAACTATATCTGTTTAAGAACAAAGTTTGAGAACATCTGTAAAATTTGTCAAGAGAATGCACCAAGAATATAAATACATTATCTACTAACAAAATATAATGACAGAAACCGAGCAGACTCGGCCATTTATAGTCGTTTTAATTGAAATAATGTATTCCATTTAAATATTACAAAGACAGATTCTGCTTAATTTCTGTCAACAATCTACTTGTCCGATTATATTGACAGGCTCAACCGACAAAACATGATACAGATGCAGATGATGATTATATTAATATATATCAGAGTACATTCCGTTTCCACACAAAATGCACATATCGCATCATTTATCCTTGTTATTCACCCGATGTTAAATAAAGATAAATGATGCATTATGTGCATCATGAGTGAAATAGAACGTACCTTCAGAAACTTGAAATATTTCAGCAAATCTGCTGCCAATCTATTGTCATGCTGCAGGCGGTTTACTTACTAGGTACAATTAGAAAACTATTACAAATCACATGTTAACTAAATAATGTAAGTATCTCAAATTATTCCCAGCTTTTTGTTGCCACAACTTTCCGCCGTAGGCTGCATTCCGATACTCACCACCAGTACTGAAAATCCATAGTTTACGTCGTGTACACTAAATATTTTCAGTACTGGCAATGAACATCGAAACGCAGCCTAAACAAACGTGTATTTAAATGCCATTGATCGTGGCGTATGTCATACCTAGCATTTGTTGTTTCTTCGAGAGTTTGCGTCGAGGACGGGCCGTGTTGAATTCATTGTCCAAATCATAATCAGTGATCTCGAAGCTCTCCACTTCGTCCTCAGACATCTTGCCGTATTATTTGTTAAGTAATGATTAATTATAATAGCGCTTCGTACTTCGTAACAATATAACCTCAAAGGACCGCAGTTTACCAAAGCTTACGTACGCTCGGATACACTGAGGCGCACTAGAAAACGCGCCGACGACGCCGACGTACCAATTGACGAAACCGATGGACAACACTTTATTCGTAGTTAATTGTGCGTTATTTTTACCAATAATGTACACACCTTCTTCTTCTTCTTATTATTGGCACTCGGCTCATTGACCACTGAGCCGACACGGCCAAGACGAACCTTTAGTCCTCCATAGATGCAACACGCTACACTGCCGCTCCCTTGCGGCGAATAGTCAAGGGAGGAGAGCGGCCGATTTAAAGGCCGCTAAGAGGAGACGGCATAATTTAGGCTTGGGATCAACGATCAAGGGAAAGATGTTCGGGGGGTCAGTAGTAGAATCTAGCAGGTCGGTGAAGATGAAATCAATGAGATTTTTCATATGGTTTTTAAAGGTAGGACAGGCGAAAATAACATGATTGAGATCTTGGGACTCTGCACCGCACACACAGGCAGGAGACTCGACAATATTTTTCCTGAATAAGCTGTAATTTAGATTATAGTGATTGCTCCTGAGCCTGTTGATGAGAACAATAAGGGAGCGTTTAAGCCGAACTTTAAGAAACCACGGCTTGGGGGAGGAAGAATGGAAGTACTGAAAATGGAGAGCGCCCTTTGATTGGGCAGCAAGTTTACACGACTGTTCCATGGAAGACCTCAAGCTCAAGCGAGACTCCACCAAAAGATCTGTAAAAGGGATACGAAATTCCGGGCCGGGGCGGCGAAGAGTCGCCTCCTTGGCCAAAGCATCAGCAGTCTCATTTCCAAGAATCCCGCGATGAGCAGGGATCCAAACCAGGTAGAAAGCTCTCTCAGAGGACGCAAATTGATGGAATATGTCTTTGATGCGCGAGATAATATAATTGAGAGGAAAAGGATTACAGGAGCATACTGCTTCCAGCACACTCCTGGAATCAGAAAAGAAACATATTTTGTTGTATTCTATGCCGCGTTCATATGCCACCTCAGCCGCGCGAAGAAGAGCCCAGGGCCCCGATTCTTGAATTCATTCGAAGAAGAAACGTATACGAAAATTCTGCTCTGACAGAAAAGTTGAAAGTCGATTGGCTATTCGCATGGCTTTAACCAATCGGCTTTCAACTTTTCTGTAAGAGCAGAATTTTCGCATACGTTTCTCTTTCGAATAAATTCAAGAATCGAGCCCCAGGCCTCCGCCGAAAAGATGGAAGCCCCGGCCGGTAAACTCAAAGAGATTGTTAAATTCAGTTCCGGGGAAATAATGTACACACCGCGTAGAACAAAAAAGCAAGAACTTTAGGCGATTTTTGGCGTGACTCTGGTGTAGCAACCAAGATGGCTGCCGATCAATTTTCCCCCATAGAACTTATACACATGGAAGGGGAAACGGATCGGCACAAGTGAAGCCAAGAAGTGAGACAGAAGAAACTAGAATTCTGTCTCGTTCTATGACTTTTCCTCGAAATACGCATGCGCGGCCAAAACGAGATTACAATAACGCATGCGCGGCCAAAACGAGATTACAATAACGCATGCGCAACGATTTAACGCATGCGCATAACGGACCAAAGTCATCTTCTATGCTATCCTTGTCACACAGATGTTGGACTCAGTTTCAGCTCACGGAGAGTATATGCTATTCCCCTTCCATGTCTATAAGTTCTATTTTTCCCCTCACTTTCAGGCTTCTCCCCTCTCGGCCATAGGCCGGTATTCATAGTCCGTTCTTATATTTAAGATCATCTTAAGTATACTCTTAATATGTTTTTAACCAATCACAGAGCCGTATTAGCTTCTTAAGACAACACTTGAGATGATTTTGAAATAAGAATCGACTATGAATACCGGCCATAGATATAGTATATATAGACTGCGCATTGTGGCTGCAGACGTTTGCACACCTGAGAAAGAGACAACATACTTACGTAGTAGCTCTTTCTCTGTCTATCTATCGTTTCTCTACTCTTTTGTTTATCCCCACTACTTCATTTCGACAAAGATATAGATACGGTCCCACACCAGCTATCTCTTTCTAAAGTTGGCGCATGTTTTCACGCGAGTGAAGTAGGGAACGCGCAGTCTATATACATATACTATGTCTATGCTCTCGGCCAAGAAAGTACTTCAATAACCGGCGTAAGCGTGGAGTAAGAAGTATAAAGGCTGGTCTACAATACATGGAGTAAGCTGGAGTAAGGAGTAGGAGTAAGAAATAAAATGGA